GTGTCAACAATCTGGCCCCTGAACCTCTCTCCAGATGCGTTCAAAGACAGGACGGAAACACTGTGAGTGGAGGCTGTAGCGTACAACATTGTAGATCTACGTTTGGTCAATCAGCCTTCTCCATTAAAACGCTGTAAACTCTGGAACACATTACCACCTGAAATAAAATTAATCTCTGACTTAAAATCTTTTACAAAACAGGTGAAATGCTCAACGCAAGCCAGCGCTGTACCCACTTTTAATGAGTATCTTCAAACTTTATTTTAAACTGGTTTATAGCATTTGTATTGTTGTAGGTGTATTTTAATGTATCCTCATATGGTATTATGGAGTTTTATGTAACTGAATGTTGTACATTTTAATCTGTTTGTTTACACAAAGGCCCGACTGGGGACACAAGTTGGAAATTAGCAATAGTTCTATACTCTTTATGCAGCACATCAGTTTCATGCTTTGTATTGAAATTATGTTAAATTGCATTGTCCCTATTAAATAAATAAATTCAAATTCATTTGCGTCGTCCCACCTCGTCTCCCACAGGCTCTGGAGCGCGTTCCAGGTATGTGAGCACTCAATATGGTTATGCAGCTCTGTCTGTCAGGTAAGGTAGCTCACTCTGTCTCTTACCTTTCCTGGCCACAGGACGGATCTTTATCTATGCTAATTAGAAAAAACTGAATTATTCACTTACAGACACTCTGCTCTTTTCTTTCTCTTGCACTACAGGTAGCATACCCACATTTTCTTTTCTAAACCCACTCGCTGTTTGCATGCACGGCACATATCCCAGATACTTCAAAGTCATGCACACACACACACACACACACACACACAGTCTGTGCGGAAGTCCCTTCAGAGCATCCTGCTCGGCTTTCTCTGACCTGAGACGCTCCACGTTCTGTTGTTACTCTGCAGGCTCTCTTATCTTATCTCCATGTTCACATCATGTTTTGCAGAACACAGATAACGAGACGTGTTTTTTAACAGCAAGGTGTAATGTTAAGTTTTCTGATAGATGTTATCTGGGTGTGGATTAGAGTCTGAATTATCATTCCTGGATGCTGCTGCTGTCGTTCTTACAAACAAACCCGGGGCTTTGTTTTGGTCATTTTCTTTGACTCGTCCAAATGGGAGCTTAGATTGGGGATGTAGTTGGATGTGAACTTGTCCAATTACACCGTCACCCTGAAACTTTTAGCCCTTTTCTCTCCAGTAAACTCGTCCCATCACAGGAGGCGATTGAGTTTCCACTGAGCCTAAATGTGATACCAAACAGCTTTTCCTTTTTTTTCTCTCTCTCTCTCTCCTTTCCTCCCCGGCTTGAGCATCCGTTGCAGGAATCACAATCACTGTTTTTCATCCTCCTCTCTCTCCTGAAGGATATCCAATTTTCCCTTCCTTACATAGTTTGTCCTCTATTTTCCTGAGGAGTCGTGGAGAGATTTCAGAAATTGCTCCTGCTCGTTGCTGTCATCGATGCAATGTGTTGTTGTTGTTTTTTTGGTTTTTTTGCACATCTTCTGCCCTCTGAATGCTTAACGTCCTCACACAGCTCGCCTGGATCTCAATCTGTGCTTGGATGTGATTCAATCAAAGCCGCTTGTGTTTGTGTTTGTGCAGGAAAGAAACTGTCTCCCTTCTCAGTCAGTAACTAATCTTTAATTAGTCCCAGAGGATTGGGGCTGTGCAGTGAGGAGCCTGTGATGCTGAGCTGTTATTATGATGAATCATGTTTAAATGAGGTGAGTAATCCTCGATGCTCACGCTCCATCTGCACAGGTATGATAGTTACATGTTTCGCTGATGTGATTGTCCTAATGGCCTCTCAGCCAGCCGTCACCTCTCCCCTCTCATCTGTCACTTCCTGTTTTTATTTTTCATCCCTCCACCGCAGCCTCCCCGCTCTGCTTTCAATTTCACTTTGATTTCTGCCTCTGCTCCCCCCTCGATCTGCAGGATCCATTTGATCTTTCCGCAGATTTATTTTATCTCCCTGACCTTGCGATGTCTTTTCAGCAGGAGGGAGGGTCAGCTTCGCCTCAATCTGTCTGTAAAGGACTTTATCACCCGGCCTGAGAAGTGTAATTACCTCGGAAACACAGAAACCTGCAGCCCACTCCTCACAGAACAGGACTCTGATAATGTTCCCTCCAGCGCTCTTCTGAAAGTGTCTCTTAATTATAACTTTGCTCTGGATAATGAGTCTGATAGCTGAAATTGGACTTCTTCCTTTCCTTTTCATCCCTGAATTTTTTCATGCGCGCTCCCTCTCTCTCTCCCCTCTCTCTCGTTCTAGTTGCCCCCGGCCTTTTTAAAAACGGAACATCTCGCAGCTCCTTTATCTGAGAGAATAATTCAATCACAGCTCAGTGCTAAAGCGTCATGACCTCTGCTGGTACAAGAACAATGCTGAAGGAGTCGGGCTAATAAAGCGTCACTCTAATTCTGATTGACAATCCACAGAAACAGACAAAGACAGAATCCCACTGTGACATCACAAGGGATGTCTCTGTGTTGGAAGACTTCTGCAAAGTGGATTTTTCATAATATGTCCCCTTTACAGCGTTTCTGTCTTTGTGTTTGCATGTTTCCTGTGTATTTAAACGCTCTGTTTTCACGCCTACAGATGAACATGGGTTGTAGTTTTCACTCTCTCCTGCAGCTTGTTGCTGGTTTGGTGAAGCTGTGAAGCGTTTGGAGCATCGTGGAGACTCTGAGAGAAACGTTCCTCTCCTCTCAGAATAAGTGTTGGGAGGTGAGTCAGCAGCTCCTGGAGGCAGACCGAGGCGGCTTCACAAACTCTCTGCTCTGAGGACCAGACGCTAAATATCTCATCAGGTCATCTCTGTTCTGTTTTCATGGAGAAGATGTCAAGACTCGCTTGGAGGACCGCAGCCTCCCCAGCACCCCTACATAGGACACACTGTACTTGATTTCTGCTTTATGCATGAGTGAAATGTTGCACATTCTTCCTTCTATTTTTGCTATAGTATAAGATCCTTCCACGACTGTTTTTTCCTGCAGACACTGAATGCACCAGCATGCATTTTGCAAGTGCTAGTGTGTACATGTGGCTGACCTGGCCCTTTAAATATGATGACAAAGAACCATAAAGGAGGCACCTTGTTTTTTTTTCAACATTCTGTCTTCTCTGATACTAAAGGGAACTAAACTCTTGTTTTTACTGTTCAATAAAAGTTCTTTGTTACCCTGAGGGCTTGAAGTGCTTCAGAAGAAAGAAGAGCGAACATTGTTTTTAAGGATTTCCCTCCAGTCGGATCATCATCATAAACTCAGCATCAACCAAAGCTCATCGTGTCGTGACTCACGCCTCAAAACCATCATCATCATCATGTCTGCTACTCCTCCACCAAAACAAAAAACACATTATCCTCCCTCCACTAACACCATCACCTCCTCCGATGGAGTTCAGCTCTGCCTCTCCTCCACTGTGTGGAACCCATAATCCACTTCAGGCTATACATAATCAGAAGCAACGCGTAAGGAGCGGGGAAATTTGTGCTGACGTGCGGGGAAAGCAGGACGAGAGCAACAACAAAAAAAGACGAAACCATGAGGAGAATTCAGATGATGGCAGAGTCCAGGGGAAATAAACGCTGACTGAAGAGGAAGAGGAGGAAGAGGAGTGCACTCCAGGGAAGCTGCTTCAGGCGGGAAAACCTCAAAGTAGAGCTCGTAATAAAAGAGCACTCTGGTTTATTATTTAGGTTACTATATGATTGACTATTAAACATCCTGTGGGGCGAGTTTTAATGCAACTTCTTTGGGCAAACTACATCAGGAATGTGGGATATATTTCATCCTGGAGAAGTGAGCAGATATTTCCACACAGGGGGGTGGACAGGTCTTTATTATGTTTGGAGGCAGCTGCAGATGTGAGCTGTGTTTCAAACAGACCTTGAGTCTTAACCTTGCACATCGACACAGCAGCAGCATCAGACTTTTAATTGGGCTCTTGTGATTCTGCGTGGTTGTCAAGCAGCTGCAGCTCCAGACTGAACAAGATGTAACGCAGAAGAGGACAAAAATACACCATGAGAGAAACTGCACAGGTAGCCCCGCCCGGACTCCTCCCCCCTTCTTTCTGGTCTCTGTGACTCTAAATGGGACCATGATTTCTAAATGAATATCATGCTGTTTTGAAGAAGACTTGTGAGGGGGGGGGGGGCTCCGGTGGATTTGGGGAATGAGAATGAGGGTGGGAGTGGCAATGGAGAAGGATCTGTCCACCCAGGACTGGTGGTTAGTCCTGCAGGGGGGGGGGGTGGGGGGGGGGAGCGTTGTGTCAGCAGAAACTGAGAGTGTGACTACTTTTTGCATATAGTGGATTCGCCCCCTGCTGCTCTGCCACAGGAAACTTTCTGGATATTCATGTTCAACTTGTAAAACCTTAAAATTGGACGAGAACCACTCAGTAAGAGTTCATATTTTCTGTTACGACGAAGGAAATTGAGATTTTTTATAATATTTAAAGAAGGTAAGCTGAATCCAACACCTGTGTTTGATCCAATCTGTATTTATTCACCTACCTCATACTGTATGTTCCCCACTTTTTTCAGTGTCTTCTTTTAATGACACTGCTCTTAGATTTAATTCCATGGAAACACTAACTATTGTTTTTTTAATCTGTCCTGTCTTGCTGTTGTTACGAGCTACTCTGTCTCTGGATGATTGTTATTCACTGCAAGGAGACAGAGTTAAGTATCTTGGTGGGCTCTTTGATCAGACACTTTGTTAGATCTACTCATAAAGGACGTACCAAGAGTCCCCCTTTTGTTTTTGTTGTTATTCTATTACTAATATTGTTATTTCTATCATAATTATTAATATTTATATTGTTGTATTTTAATTATATTCATCATAATTATTAATTATTAGGCTTCAATATTCTTAATTCGGAAAACATTACCTGAAAGAATGGATATCGGTTGAAGTGCATTTCGCAAGTCTTACTCTGAAAATCCGGAGCGGAAGTGGCTTTGTTTACCTTCCGCCGCTGGCCGCAGCTAAAAGCTACAGTGGACATAACGGAGTAATAACCTTCATATTTACAGTCTGTGGTAATAAACAGGAGTGTAGTTTAATAACCACAGATTGAAGGGTAACATGTGAATTTATGTTGGACTGTAACGAGTTATTTTAAAACAGGAATATTAAATTAAACGTTAAAAGTCCCCGATGAGACGGTTAACACGGTGACTCTTCTAACTAAAGGTTTGTACTTTATCATTAATCTGACTCTTATTATCATTAATCTGACTCTTATTATCATTAATCTGACTCTTATTATCAATAATCTGACTCTTTAAGCTTAACTTGACCCTGACGATGTTTCATTATGTAGAGAAATCTGAAACACAGAGTAGAGGGTGACATGTTGATGTGCAGAGAGCGCATGCGCGAAAAATATACTTTTTATTATGGATGTGATAAATCATGTAAACAGTGATGGTGTAGGTGTGTGTTGTTAAAACACATTTTATAAATCACTATCTTTTTTCTGTCATGTTAAAATAACTAACTAACCCAGAAAAAAATACTTTATTTATATTTCAGATACTGAAACTGATACTACTAAACCTTTTATTATCTTCAGTCAAAGAAATGACCCTGCTTTTATTTGGGGAGAAAAAGTATGTGAACCCTTTGGAATTTCTTAGTTTTCTGCATAAATTGGTCATAAAATGTGTTCTGATCTTCATCTAAGTCTCAACAATAATCAAAGTCAACTTGTCAATTTCTAAATATGCCAGACACACAGTGGAATCAAAATTTAGTTTGTCTCCGTCCCGCGGTGCAATACAACCAAAATAAGGTAAAATAAGATAAGGTAAAAGAGATAAAATAAATTGAGGTAAAAATAAGATAAATAATATTTACAGGAATAAATTCTAAATTGTGCAAAATGGTAAATAAAATAAAACGTAAAGAAAAAGTAAACTTGTGCAATGTGCAGTAAACAGATTGTACTTTTGAAAAGTTAGCTTCAGAGTTATTTAGTCCAGAGTTCTGACACAGTCTGCTTAAACTAATACCACACAAACAATTATATGTTTTCATGTTTTTGTTGAACACAACATGTAAACATTCACAGTGCAGGGTGGAAAATGTATGTGAACCCCTCGGCTAATGATTTCTCACAGAGCTAAGAGGAGTCAGGAGTCAGCCAACCTGCAGTCCAATCAATGAGACGAGACTGGAGGTGTTGGTTAAAGCTGCCCTGCCCTATAAAAAACACACTTCAGTTTTGAGTTTGCTACTCTCAAGAAGCATCGCCTGATGTGAACGAAAGAGCTCTCAGAAGACCTACCATTAAGGATTGTTGACTTGCATGAAGCTGGAAAGGGTTACAAAAGAATTCTAAAAGCCTCGATGTTCATCAAATTGTCTGTAAATGGAGAAAGTTCAGCACTGTTGCTGCTCTCCCGAGAAGTGGCCGTCCTGTAAAGATGACTTCAAGAGCACAGCGCAGAATGCTCAATGAGGTGAAGAAGAATCCGAGAGAGTCAGCTAAAGAGTTACAGAAATCTCTGGCACATGCTGACGAATCTACGATACGTAAAACACTAAACAAGAATGGAGTTCATGGTGAGGACACGACAGGGAAAGCCACTGCTGTCCAAGAAAAACATTGCTGCACGCTTGATGTTTGCAGAAGAGGACCTGGATGTTCCACAGCACAACTGGCAAAACATCCTGTGGACAGATGAAACCAAAGTTGAGTTGTTTGGAAGGAACACACAAACACTGTGTGGAGAAAGAAAGGCACAGCACACCAACATCAAAACCTCATCCCAACTGTGAAGTATGGTGGAGGGGACATCGTGGGGGCTGCTTCGCTGCATCAGGGCCTGGACAGATTGCTATCATCGATGGAAAAATGAATTCCCAAGTTTATCAAGACATTTTGCAGGAAAACTTAAGACCATCTGTCCACCAAGTGAAGCTCAATAGAAGATGGGTGATGCAACAGGACAACGACCCAAAGCACAGAAGTAAATCAACAACAGAAGACAATACGCCTTCTGGAGTGGACCAGTCAGAGTCCTGACCTCAACCCGATAGAGATGCTGTGGCATGACCTCAAGAGAGTGATTCACACCACACATCCCGAGAATATTGCTGAACTGAAACAGTTTTGTAAAGAGGAATGGTCCAACATTCCTCCTGACCGTTGTGCAGGTCTGATCTGCAACTACAGGAAACGTTTGGTTGAGGTTATTGCTGCCAAAGGAGGGTCAACAAGTTATTAAATCCAAGGGTTCACATACTTTTTCCACCCTGCACTGTGAATGTTTACATGTTGTGTTCAATAAAAACATGAAAACATATAACTGTTTGTGTGGTATTAGTTTAAGCAGACTGTGTTTGACTATTGTTGAGACTTAGATGAAGATCAGAACACGTTTTATGAACAATTTATGCAGAAAACTAGGAAATTTCAAAGGGTTCAAATACCTTTTCTTGCAACTGTAGTGTTGTAGTCGAGACCACACTAACCGAGACCGAGACACCTGACCACCAAGACATTTAGAGGTCAAGTCCAAGATCAGGGCAGGGCGAGACCAAGAGCATCATCCTGTGTGCAGCGGGCGTTTCCCTCACTTACACCATAAAACCGGGAAGGTCGCGGTCGTAACCGGTGGATAAAAATCAAACTACAAAGTGAAGTTGTTCCTTCTGTTGTAAATGAGATCTTACCTGGTTGATGATTGTGGTCGTGTCTCTGCAGGTCTTTGTGATGGCCGTCCTGAACCTGTCCTTTGCTGCATGTGGGTTCTTGGGGATCTACCACCTGGGGGCCGTGGGGGCCTTTCTCCGTCACGGCGGCCGGCTGGTGGGGTCCCTCAGGGCGTGTGCGGGGGCTTCGGCCGGGGCGCTGGTGGCAGCCTTGATGGTCACAGCTCCTGATAAATTAGAGGTAGAGATTCCTCCTCCTCATCATCATCATCATCCTGCTCACAGGAACAGAGAGGAAACCTTCCCGGGTCATTTTGAGGTTTTCAGAGCTCCCACAGGACGACAGAAGAAGAAATGAAGTTATTTAGAATAAACACTCACATTTGCAAAGCTTTGATTGACGGTTCATTCTGACAGATTACAGATGGAGGGTGTTGGATTAAAGACTCTGTCAGGGTGGAGAGCTTTTCTCAGATACTCAGCATCAAAAGATTTGACATCAAGCAGGAGAGCTGTCTGTCCTGTTAATATTTAAACACACACCGGCTCTTCAAAATGCATGAAGTAACATCTAAAGATCACAAAAAGCAGAAGGATACGAGGATCCCTACATTTAGATTTCAAACAAAGAGAGCCGGGAGGTATTTTCAGGAGGTGAAAGGTCTCATATTGAAGGTTTTAAACCCTTTTTTTAGCAACACTGAGCAGGTTTAGTGACTTTGTAGTTTCCGTTTTGCTCTTTTTATTTCAACATTTGCATCAAAATGTCTGGTTGTTAAATGGATATTCATAAAACAAAACAAAGTGAAGACAGGGATCTTATGGTGATGGGGTTTGCTTCCTTCTTTTGCAGCACTGTAAAGATTTCACGTTCAGGTTTGCAGAGAGCGTGCGGCGTCAGAGGTTTGGAGCCGTCACACCGGGATACGACTTCATGCTCACGCTGCGGTAAGATCCTCAGCAGACAGGACTGATGTGGAAACATCTGGATTTGATCTGAACTGAAGCAGAGACTTGGATTTATTTTTGGTGCAACAACACCGACATCTGTGTAAAAAAAAAAAAAGAGTGAAACTGGGACTTTATGTGGCGTTTATGTGTTGTGCAGTTTACACCGTGTGCAGGAGTTCGCAATTACTGGTGATTTAAATGAAGAAATTAGGCGGCGCCGGTGGCCTAGTGGTCAGTTTGTGCGCCCCATGTACAGAGGCGTAAGTGAAGAGAGACAGGAATGTGTCACTCCTGGAAGGAAATCTGTTCAAAAAGCTGACAAACGAGCGTCTCTGTGTGACCCGTCTCCAGGGAGGGGATTGAAGAGATTCTGCCCGCCGACGCTCACAGTCTGGCCTCGGACCGCCTCCACGTCTCCATCACACACTCCAAGAGCGGGAGGAACCACGTGGTGTCCAGGTTTACCTGCAGGGAGGAGCTCATACAGGTACACGCCTCCTTCGTCTTTACGTTTAGAGCTTCCTCATGGAATCTTTGATGGGTTTTGTTTTCAGATTACGTACTGCACCTTTAAATCTAATTTGACTATTTTCTAATCGTTTCCCCAAAATCCCCCCAAACTACGGAGCCCCTGAAGGTTCATTTAAGTAGAAATGCAAAGTGAAATGCAGAGATGGCGTCATGAACGTCAACAGCGCAGATAAAGTTACTAGTTAATAAAGCTTCTGATGGCACATTGATGTATATTTAATTATTCATGGCTCACAAGAGAGAGAGAGAGAGAGAGAGGGAGAGTCAATGTTTGACATCATCATGACAAGGGGCGGAGTCTTTGCAAAGCTTCAAGAGGTGGTTAAAACAGAGCGCCAGCGTCAACATCTTCATCCTGACGATCAGTAACACAAACTCGATATTCAAGGCTGCGTCTCTGGTTCACAGTCTGCCTGAGGGTAAAGCATCATCACTGCACTCGATGACTGCTCTAAAGGTCTTCTTATCTCCAACCAGGTCATTGAAGTCAAGAGAAACGAGCTAATTATTATAAAGATGGTTTTTTTTAGAAGTTCCTCACACGTTGGCCTCGTGCACATCCGGGGTTCCAACACTTGTTTGCATGTCCAGCTCCTGAAGCTCCTGAAGCTCCTGAATCTCCTGAATCTCCTGCTGCAGTCTCGTGGTGTCATGTGACTCAGGGTCTAAAAGGTGTTCACTTCTCCTCCAGGCTCTTCTGGCCAGCAGCTTTGTGCCCGTCTATGCCGGACTCAGACCTGTGGAGTTCAAAGGAGAGGTAAAGATTCATGACTGAGGAGGGACCCGGTGTAAGAGGGGGGGTCTCTGGAGTTAAGATTGTTGATTTGTTTTATCAGAAATGGATCGATGGAGGATTCACCGACAGTCTGCCCATCCTGCCCGTGGGACGAACCGTCACCGTGTCTCCTTTTGCTGGACTGCAGGATGTGTGTCCTGTCCACAGGGGGCGCTACAACCATCAGCTCAGACTGGCCAACATGAACGTAATGGTAGGAACTGGATCTAAATCTTTCCCATATCGATGTAGTAAAATAAAAGAGCATGCAGTGACATCGTAAATATCTCTTCTTCACACCTGTGAAAAGAAAAATGTAGGATTTCAGATTTATTTTCTTCTGAATGCTGCAACTCTTAACACATTTCTAGTTTCTAGTTCAAGCTGAAGTCGTAGAGAGGCGTCCTCTGTTGCTCCTGAAATGCACAGATCATTTCCTGTGCTGCTTTTTCTTTCAATTTTCAACATAAATATTGTTTTTTTTTTCTTGCATTTCCTCAGTTCTCCATGGAAAACATCAAACGTCTGAACCGGGCTCTGTTCCGCCGTCCAGCAGCGGCATGACGTCTTACTACGAGGAAGGTTTCAGTGACGCTGTGAGGTTCATGAAGAGAGAGGCCTGGATGAGCTGACGCTGAGAGAAGACTTTTTTAAAGACGTTTTAAGAGTTTTATTCTGCTGCGTGATTTGAAGTGTTCTTAATAAAACCAGAGGATGCACCCGTGTCACTTTGTTTGGATCCTTTCTTCTCCTGGATCAAGGCTTCACTTTTTATTCACAAAGCCGAGCATGAAAGCGTGCGTGCAGCGCTGCGAGCTTCAGTCAGATAAACGTTATCAAACACACGCTCGGCTCCATGTGACAGCAGCAGAACATGATGAAAAGCGCTCAGGAGAACATGGACTCCTCATCCATTTTCCAAGGAGGCTTTTAATTTCCCCCCAGCTGGAAGCGCCGAGAGAGAGAGAGAGTGAAGAATCATTGGGGCGGTGCAGCACTTCAGAGGACGTCATGGATGTCGGCGCTCCCTCAGGACTGGACGATGGAGCGTCCTCTTTGAAGTGCCGGACGTTTCTGCAGGGTTTCTGTTTGATTCCCTCCAGCGACGGGAGACGTGAGCAGGTTCTCCATCAGCTGGTTGTGTGGGAGCGAGCGGCTCCTCCCTCACCGCGCTCACATGTTGAAGGAGACTCTCTGAGCTGCTGCTGCTGCTGCTGCTCCGGGGAGGGAGAGAGGCGGGTAATTGATTACGTTGTAGTATCTACACAGTCTGCATATGAATGCTCTAAAGGAACCAAAAGAAGACCTTTGTTCTCTTTACTACACAGGGAAGACTTTGACTTTCTGCAGCTCTAAATGAGTCCGCATGCCTCCAAAATCTGATCAGGGCCTCATTTCCCAGAAGCTTCTCCGGCTAAGACGAGCAAACAATCAGTCTTGGATCTGGAAGTGTTTCCTACCAGCATCAAAACTAAAGACAACATGAATGTTAGGAGGTTTACTGAAGACAATCTTTAAAAAAAAAAAACACATCTGAATGTTTTTACTGTATCTCTAGTTTGTAGGAGAAATGTCAGCTCCGTTTAGAGGTTTAACTTTAGGATTGCACACAGAGGAATGTCTCAAACGTGCTGCCACTGCTGATCATTTAAACTCTACGTTTGGTCATTTATCTCCAAAAAGAAATCTATCCGACAGCAGCACAGATTCATTCACGTAAGAACTGGAGGTCAGTGTGCAGATTTCTTTTTTTCTTTATTTCACATTTTCTACCCAAAAGAGATTTTTTGCGATACAATCAGAATCCAAGAAACACATCCTCTCTTCTCAAGAAAATGTGCGCTCAAACAGGCTGTTTGGAGATTTTCCCTGCATGACATCACAAAGGGAAGCAGACTTACAGCTGTTGCTCAGTTGGTAGAGTCGGCCGTAGCAGCCTCTACCATCAGGGTGTGAATGTGTCGGTGTGTCTTCTTCAGTAACTCTTTCTGTTCAGCAGAGAGGACGTGAGGTCACATACCGAGGGATAAGAAGTGTTCTATGAGAGATACTTCATTACATCATTTATCCTAACATCACATTAGCACTGTAAACCTGTAAACCAGCTCTCCGATGTAAAAGCACAAACACACAGATGTCTCCTGCAGCGTCCCCCCCCCCGCCCGCTGCCGTTATGTAATCCCACCTGCTGCTTCTGCTAATGAGGCTCAATTAAGGCTTCCCCTTAAATTACAGTTTCCACCCGGGGCGAGAGATTCCTCTGCTTTTGTTTATTACTCGCTTAGTTTCGGCGCGTCTCGTCGGAAAATATTCTGCCCTGGCCGGCTGAAGGAGCAGCTTTATTACAGCAATTATTCAGCTGCTTAGACGTTCAAAGCATGCACACACACACTCACACACACACACACACACACACACACACACCTGCAGAGTGTGACGCCTCCGATGAGCACACAGAGGGATGTGTTTCAGTTTGATCACAAGTCCTACATGGACACAAAAAGAGAACAATCATGTCGTCTTGGGTTTTATTGAGCGTCACAAACTAATGTGGAGTCTAAACTCAGGAGGTCTAAACCTGCTCATGAACCAGCTCACATGGCTCCTGATTCTGGCTTTGATAATCTCGTGGATATGGCGTCTGATTTCTGACTCTAATGACATGATTGTAAAATTAGCTCTGAACATTTATCCTACAGTTGAAAACCAGGCAGAACATTTCTTCTCCAAATCAGAGTGTGAAAGTCTCATGAGTCACAAGATGAGTGTTTTTTTGTTTTACCACGAGAACTCCATCCCCTCCTCCTCTTCCTCCTCCTCGTCCTCCTCGTCCTCCTCGTCCTCCTCGTCCTCTTCGTCCTCCTCGTCCTCTTCGTCCTCCTCGTCCTCTTCGTCCTCCTCTTCCTCCTCTTCCTCGTCCTCCTCTTCCTCCTCCTCGTCCTCTTCCTCTTCCTGACACTGACAGAGCTGAGAGAACGTGGAGCAGCAGGGCTGCATCCAGGGTCTCCACAGCACGTCCCCTGCAGATATCTGGTTCTCCCCGGGCGTCACCGACCTCCGATGCGCCTCGGCGGCCTCGTTCATCACAGCCAGGACGGAGCTGAAGGCGGGCTCGGCGTCGGGAGTCAGCGGCGTGGTCTCCGACGGGTCCCTGGAGAGATCGAAGAGCAGCGGGGGATCGTGGTAGGTCACGTAGTCCGGCTCGCAGAAGCAGAGGTGCGTGTGGTGGCACGCCGTCTCGTTCTCAGGGTAGAAGTTTGGTGTGAAGAAAAAGGCTTTCCACACTGAGCTACCTGCAGAGAAAACAAAGGTTAATGACCTTTCATGCACGGAGCAGTCGGCTCGAAAACAGGCTGTAATGGCTGCAACATCTGGGTGCTACTTCTGCTAACAAAAGCGTGCATTAAATCGTGCTAAAAGGTCAAAGGTCACTGAAGTGGGTCCAGTCCACAGGGACCGTTGTTAGTCTTCATCACAGTTCCTCTTATAATCTAGCTGAGAACGCTGCAAGGAGCCTCATTCGTCAACAGAGCTGTCAATCATGACGTTACATCCCGTCTCTTTTTTTTTACACTAATCAACTCATTAAAACACTGAACACTTCATTCAGAATGACAGGTAACCATGACGACAGAGTATTGACGTGTATTTTAACATCCTGGTTCGACCCCATGTCCCTGTCTGTTATCATAGAGGAGGCGGGGTTTATGACCTATACTGCAGCCAGCCAGCAGGGGGAGCGCTAAAGGGGGCTTTTTCTCCGTCCATGTTAGGCCACTCCCCCTTTTCTGCAAGGTCAAATGATGCAAGAAGAACTACCTGAGCCTGTCAGGGACAAAAACACCAACTTCTATTGGACGTTTGTCCCAAAAGTTAAGATGGACTCACTGTTTTGAGGATGCCATCTGAGTGCGTTCAGGTATCTGCTGCAGTAATGGAACAGAAACTCGTGGTCTGATCTGTCCGTCTTCCCCTGCAGCAACGCCATGAGGTCACGACCGTCGACCTCCCTGCACACGAGCCGAGGACAAGAAGCGACAGTGAGACTCAAAACATTTCCATCATCTCTTTAAACCTCCCGTTTTTCATTTTCAAACACGTTTCCTGCGGCTCTGAGTCGCTCTGAGAGTCACTCCAGCTCTCTTTTTGAAAAATGTGACCCAGATTTCAGACTTCACTCGTTTTGACTGACGTGTTGAAGGAGCGCTGTCTCGCCGCGCTGCGTCCTCACCTGTCCTCGGGGACCGACGCTCCGCTCAGCCGCACCACCGTCGGAAACACGTCCATGTTGCTGGTGGGCTCGTCGACCACCCTGCCGCCCGGGATCATCCCCGGCCAACGCACGATCCCCGGCACCCGGATGCCTCCCTCCCAGCTGGTGGACTTCCCCGCTGCTCGGCGGGAAGAGAAGAAGAGAGTCTCAGAACAGACGGGCCGCTCGCCGAGATAAAAGAGCAGAGCTGTCAGTCATCTGTTCAAAACTCAGAGTGCTCTTTGAATCAGGACCAAACACAGAAGCAGCCACATTTCATCTCCATCTACTCGGAGTAGTTTTGGAGAGAGAGCATCAGTTTTCACCACCGTGCTGTACCTTTGTAAATCCCGTTCCAGCCTCGGTGCACCTCTCCTCGTGCAGAGATCTCCTCCAGGTGAGCTCCCTGATCGGAGGTCAGGTACACCAGAGTGTGTTCTCTCAGTCTGAGTCTGTCCAGAGTCTGCATGAGCTCGCCTGATAAAACACACAAAGACAGAGAGCTTCATCTGACACTGCATTTCTGTTTTTAAAAACAAACAAATGCTTTTATTTGGTTTTCCACCTTTAAGAGACAACAGAAATGTTCCCACTGTGCAGCTCTTTGGAGTGGAAAAGGATAATCCAGCTGCTGTGAGACGAGTTAAAAGTATCTTTGAACAAGCGCGCTGCTTTCCTCACATGCACCTGACGCTGCTTGAACTTTTCAAGCGGACGCAGGTCAGTGAAACGTTAGCATACATAATCGTCTCCGCACGTCGCTGCAGCTGCAGACCGAGAGCGTCAGGTAAAAACAAAAAGAGAGCGAGCAAACGAATGAGAGGAAAGACGGAAACATTGGGAGAGACAAAAGGAAATGGGATTATTCCCCCTCCTCCTTTGTGCTCTTACAATCGTCCTCAAGCTGAAATAATTGGAGTAATTACACGTTCATTAGGAAAATAAGCCCATTGAGAGCTTGTGTTGTTTGCAGGCTGTCCTTGAGACTGAACAGCAATTAGAGAGAGAGAGAGAGCGAGCGAGGGAGAGAGAGAGACCTATTTCAAATGATATCAACAGAACCTCATCATCATAATGAAGGACCAGCTGATGTTACAGCAGCCTACAGAAGAAATATGACGGTGACTCTTTTCTAGAAGAAGATTTGCAGCTGGATTTCTGGAGCAGATTTTTGTCCGTCGGTCTGAGAGACAGGAAGAGGAAAGAGGAAGAGGACTTTCCTTATCCGTGTCACAGTGCTCGACGGTCAAACCTCCTCTGGCAGCCCTGCAGCGTTCCGCCCCACTGAAGGCTTACAGAGAGCTGGCCAATCAGAACGTTGGCGTTGAGACACATCATTATAAAACTAGAAAAGATCCTAAAACTGAAGTGTGCAGACTGACCGACGCTCCAGTCCACCTCGTGGACGGCGTCCCCGTAGATGCCGTGTTGGCTGCTCCCTCTGAAGCGTGCAGAAGCGAACATGGCCGTGTGCACCTGGATGAAAGAGAAGAACAGCAGGAACGGCGTCTCAGCGTTCCTGCAGAAACACACAACACACAGAGCAAACACGAGTTCACGATTCCACCTGCAGCTTTTCTCAAAGTTTACTCATGGTCATCGGTGAGCTGTACCTCTCCATGAAGTCTACGGCCTCGCGCGTCATCCTCTGCGTCAGGTTTTCAGACACAAACGGCTGCTCTATGACTCTGTGCTCCCTCATCAGGATGCAGTTGAAGTACGGCATGAGCGTGATGAACCCTGCGAGCAGTCCTGCAGCCAGCAGCAGCAGAACCAGCAGAGCCAGGATCAGCCTTCTGCGGACGACGATGAGGCCGCAGTAATGGAGGAAAACTGAGGTGAGGAAGACGATGAGCAGCGTCCTGTAGGGCAGATATTTGTGGAACTGGAACACGGTGCCGTGTCCGGGCTGGCAGTCCCGCAGGTTGGTCAAAGGGATGCCGAAGAAATAGTTGAAGCCGTGCACGCTGGGGTGGTGGCAGTGATCGTCGCTGCTGTTACAGTTCAGTCCCAGGTGCCATTTTCCTGCAACAAAAAAAAAAAGAGAGAGAGAGAGAAGATGAAACATAACAGGAGGAAAGTTTGAGCTGTGGGAAACGTCAGCAGCGTACCGATTAGCGCCGTGTCATAGCCGCGTTGTTTAGCGATCTTTGCAAAGGTGATCTCTGTGCTGGGGAGACCTCCGGGCGCTGTGTTCAGTATGAAGACCTGGTTTCTCCCACTCCCATAAATCCCTGGAACAGAAGCATGGAGATAAAGAAGCACAGAGCAGGTCAGGGCAAACTAAAGCGCCTGCAACGATCTTGTCTCTTCAGGACGTTTCCTTCCAGTTAAATAACGGAGTCGGCGAACAGATGGCGTCCCTGCAGGTCCAGATCTGTTTACAGTGTCCGCCTGCAGACCAACATTCAGCCCCGCGTCCCTCACTGACCTGATCTTATCGGGTAGCGCCCGGTGAGGAATGCGGCCCTGCTGGGGGTGCAGAGGCTGGCTGCAGCGATGTGATGAGTCAGCTTCACCCCTTCCTCCGCCAGCTGGTCGATATGGGGGGTCCTGGGATCACAGTTCATTATCAGTCACAGGACAAGGACATGTGCAGGTTGATGTGAATTATCTTCCTAAACTCACAGATATCAAACTTTGACCTCAGCCAACCCCGACACAGAGAACATTGTTTTTCTTTTTTCACCTCAGAGTTTTATTTCCGTAGCAGCCCAGGTCGCCGATCCCGAGGTCGTCCACCATCATGAGGACAAAATTCGGCCTCCTGCTCTCGTGCAGCGACTCAACGCTCCCCTCCACGAGAAGCAGCAGCAGCAGCACGGAGGACGTCAAACATGCCCGCTTCATGTTGTCGAGGTCGGATCACTGGAGGGACAGATCACAGCACATTGTAGAAACACCCACAGCAGCCAAAAGACTCCGGTAAAAGTAGGCGGGTTATGATGGAAGAGGACAGCCAATTAGAAACCAGAGGAGTTACATCACTGCTGCAGCTTGAACACTTTACCTGACACACTTTATAGACTGTGGAGAGGTTTCTGAACTCTGGACAGGAGACAAATTAACAGATACTGTTAATGTAGACCTATATTAACAGAGATAGGCCTACAGTGTATTTTAACAACAAATATTTTCAGAGGTGGTACACAGTTTGAAAAGTTTGAGAAACACTGGAATACACCATATGCACATTCAGGAATATTTTGGTGAACATGTTGCAGATTTAAAACCTGAAATGTCAAATGTTCACATCACAATGTTGATATTTTTGATGAAATTCTGCAAACTTTCACTGCAGTTACAGGAATTACTCTGAGTATATTTATGATGAAGATGCTTTGTGACGTATTTCCGTCATGCAGGTGTTCAGACACCTGTGACATAACTCCATCTTTAACATTGAAGCAGCAGTTTAATCCCTCACAGACTGAATGTCTTTAAAAAACATTCACAGCAGTTTCCGTGTTAAAGAGCAGTAAATCACTTTTACCTTGTTCACGTGTTCACCTTCAGTTCCAGCTTCTCACCTGGCCAAAATCAACCACATTCAAAACTGTCCGGACTCTGAGCCCGGGGCGGAACTTAGCGGACCAAAAAGTCACAGCAACACTTCCGGTTCGGAGTTTCAAAACAAAACTCTCAGAAAAATATTTTAGCCTTTAAATGCAAATGATGAACCGTGTAAGACTGAAGCCAAAAGCTCTCCTATAAGGACTCAACCTCAACTTGTAACATCCTGCAGAAGAAAAACCGGAAATTAATTAAACTCGTCATTTGTTGAATTGCACGTTAAAAAAGATAGATTCTCAAAATGAGGAGCGTATAAATCTCCTTGTTCTCTTTCTCTCCTGACTTTTACGACTCATTCTGAAAGCTGGTGCATTTTTTTTATTGTTTGACGATAAAAATAAGCCTTATAATACATCAGGCTAGTGGTTAGAGCACGCCCCACGTATCGCCCCAGGCAGGCGACCCGGGTCCAAATCTGACCTGTTGCTCCTTTCCCACTCTCTCTCTCTCTCTCTCTCTCTCTCCCTGATTTCAGACTCTATCCTGTGGCCATCTCTACAATAAAAGCACCAAAAGCCGAAAAACAAATCTTTAAAAAAAAAGCCTGATAGAAATGTTATCATGCAATGTTCCATATGTAACACAAATATGTGCTTTAACACATTACTGTTAATGGTCTGGTTGTTTGCACATCGTGTTCCTGCAGCGTTCTCTGCAATTACTCCACTACTTCAGTCCTAAATGTACTGAAGAGGAGAACTAAGGAGACTTCATGCGTTGTTACTTTAAAATGTGTTTTGGCTTCCATTTGCTTTCACTTGAATCATTAAAGGATTATAGAATCATTTCTCCTGGGCTTTTATGGTGTGATAGACTTCTGCACGACCCCTCACACAGCTCTCATAAAAGGTACAGAAAGTAATTTCTCTAATTCATGGTCACAGGCACATACGGCCTGGACAGGTTTTCAGTCTGCATGAATGGAAACGTCCTCGCTATTCAAGCCCCTTTTCAGAATCATTTAGACGCCTTTATTTCTGCAGCTGGAGGAGGTGTGGAGAAATACTGGCATCTGTTGTTTCACTCCAACATTACACGATCCAGACCTGAGGACGGGATTTAGGGGTCTGGGGGGGGCTGCAGGGATCTGGGGGGGGCTGCTGCAGGGACAGTGAGGAATTGATTTAACAGTCTGATCATTTGAACAATCATGAGGAAAGGAGGATGCATTTCACTTTCCAGGACAAAACCATCTCCTGGGATTCAATCTAACCAAACAAAAACAGATTTATTAAATGCATTCATGATAAAAAAAACAACAAGAAAACGTGAAAACTGAAAGTCCCATGATGTCAATAACTAATCAGACCTAATTGGGGTTTTTATGTAACCAGGCTGTAAACATGTTGATATCTGCTGTAAAAAAAAAAAGGCTTTTTCTGAATGGGTGTGTATGTGACTTCCGGGTCTCTTGGAGCCGGCCTCTAGTGGACACTCGAGGAACTGCAGGATTTTGCACTTCTGCGTTTTTTCTTTTTTCAACACCAGAGAAAAACTAAACCAAACTACATTTAAAAAAACGAGCATTTTAAAATGTTCGAGCTTCGTTTCTTTATTTCAACAAATCTGCTTTTTAATGGAGTTATATCTGCATCATTTTTGTGCATCAAAATCACAGCTTAGTCGATTTTATTCAGGATTCAAAGCGCTGAAGTAGACGAGCAGACAGATGGACAAGCGCTTCACATCTAGCATCACGATGCATCAGTAATTAAACAAACCGGTGACTTTAATTAGGAAGTGAGTTTTGATGGAGGAAAACCCAGACTGAGAGAAAGGCTGAGATTTTTCAGACTTGTCAATCAGAGGTAGCCCCGCCCCCCAAAAAAGAAGAAGACAAATTAAGAAAATATAGGTTTTGTGTCAGTGAGAAGCTACAGGATGTAATCACCTCGACAACACATCGTCCACACTCGACTCAGCCGCTCTCCATCTGCAACAAATCACACAGGAAGCGTTGTCATGAGCAGTCCAGTCACATCCCTGCAGGTTAGTGCCCCCCCCCCCACCCCCACCCCGCTAGACACGCCTCCTACAAACACGCTCTCCTGTCCCTGATTTCTGATGCATTAAAGCATTTTTCTTCTTTCAAGGCCTCTTCAAAGACGCTCTTCATTGTTAGTGCACGCTCACACAGAGGCTGCAGCGCGCAGGACTCCTGCAGGTTTCAGCTTCTTCAACACAAGAAGAAAGCTGAGAGAAGAGTCCGTCATCAGAAACACGGCAATCAGAGCGGTTTGTTGTGCAGCACTTTGATTCAAACAGCGCCGCGGGCAGCAGGGCGTGCAGGCGGACACGGCGTATGAAGTGATGCCAGGAAACTGTTCTACATTTGAAGTCCACTCATTCCTTGTATTCATGTGGTGTAAGAATTAAAGTCTGAAATGATTGGGAAGTTTATTCATCAGAGGGGAAAAATAAAATCCTCCAGTTGTACAAACGTGAAGCCATCAACGGGCGCTGACATACTGCACGTCTGGAGTCCGGGAATTAGAGATTGACTGGTGAAGCTGCAGTGCCGAAGTCCCGCCCCCTTTGTCTCACCTAAATTGGCAAAAGGTCAAAAGGTCTCTCAACAGAACACAACAGATTCTTGTGTCAGTTTCCCCTCACTGTTCCTCCTCTACTCTGATAATCCGCTGCACACAGCAACGCAGGAGCCTCATTGGTCAACAGAGCTGTCAATCATTGCCGATATATATTGATATATTTTATGTCATCAAATAAATAATCAAGACTAAACTTCTCAAAAAAATAAACAATTGGAAATAAATCAGCGTAAGAATTAAAAAACATGTTAGAGGATCATTTATGTGACTTGTCTTTTGATTTGATAGTTTGACCCATTAAAGGGGGCGGAGCTTAATACCTACACTGCAGCCAATCAGCAGGGGGAGCTTCAAATGTTTTGGCTTCACTGTCAAGGAGCTGTCATGCCGTCCATCTTTTTTTTTTAAGCTTGGATTCAAATAAAGAAGCTTCTTCACATTTCCTCTCGGTAAATTCTCTATAAGATGAAACTTAAGAAGAAGAATGAGTCTGAACAACATCTCTTTTGTCCCTTTTGTACCCGTCCTCTGTGGCGGTGAAAATAAGGAGAGAGCCTCGGGTTTAAGCTCTCTCCATTAACCACTTGGTTTTCCTTCAGAGCCTCACCTGTGGTCGAGCTTCGGTCACGGCTGCTGAACCGAGAGAACGAGGAAATCTTCAGAGCTTATTGTTGAACTGCTCCTCGGCAGTGTTAGGATATACCTGGATATGAACTCCTGTTATGAGCACCACTACCCAGAATCCTTAGGGCACCTTTGTTTGACCGCGTACAGCGAGAAACACACAAGAGGGGAGACCCTGAGGTGAATCAGAGACATGAACAGCCGCTCTGCTTGACCTGCTTCAAATGCTGCAGTGCTTTAACATGAGGTCTGAGGCTCAGCATGTGCCCGAACACCTGAGGAGAACTTTGACCTTCAAACACGCTCCTCCAGGAGGGAACGCTGAGGCTGGAGCTTCACAATGTGAAAGTAAAAGGAGGAAAAATCTAAGTAGGAAACATTCATCCACGAGACAGGAAACAGTGTTTTAGTTTACCTGAGAGGAGCGACCTCACCTCGACAAAACATCCATCCTTTTGTTTCACATTCTCTCAACTCTCACAGATTTCTTTTAATTTAATTCAGAGTTCAAACAACAGACCGAATGAGGAGATGGACGACACAACAGCTGCAGAGAAGTGAAGCCAAAACATTTGAAGCTCTACCTGCTGTCATAAGCTCCGCCTCCTCCTCGTTAAAAGATGTTCTTTCTTCTGCAGATTTTCAACAATGGTGGCGATCAATGCAGGAAATACGATGCTACCCAGCGGACCAATCACAGAGCTTGCAGCCTGCATCGTTTGGAAGAATATTTAAATTTTTGAGGATTTGCACGTCAGACTCTGCAGAAGTTTAAGATCTCTCAAACTCACTACTGAATCACAGAGTGGACAAAGCTGGCGTGGATACTCTCCTGTGTCCTGGAAACCCAGATCTACTCCGTCTACTTTCATTAAAGTCGGATTTATCAGTGAATAAGCACAAGTGAATATTATAATCACATGGAATCAGTTTTTTTTTTTTACAATAACAGTGATGTCTCCGTCCCGTAATGAGGCCTCTGGAGAAAAGCATCACGCTGTCTTTTAAAAACATGTCTCCTCTAACTTCCCTCCTGCACACTCTCTGTATTGATCTGATTCTTTAATCATCATTGAGGGACTGATGAAGTGTCTTTATTATCTTTAATTTGCTCTTCACAGATTAGGAGTGATCACACATTCAGTTCTTGACTGAAGGACTCAAAAACAATATCAGATCTTTCGACTCTAACTGTTAAAAAGGTTCTTAAATTTTTCTTTCCAGGTATAAAACACCTTCAACAAGACCTTCTTCATTTAAATCTCTGATATAAATGAATTAAATGAATGAGTACTTCCTAACTCTTCTGGTTTCTGCCTTAAACTAAAAAACCAGTGTGATCCAATCATGCAGGTAAAAGTCAGAGTCAGACACCTGCTCACTGTTACAGGATTTTATGCTTTTTATTCTTTGAATTCTCTGAGAGTAGAACAATGACGTCCCTCTGTGGGGTAAATGTGAGGGTGCTGCAGAGTGACCAGCAGGGTGCACTGTTGTTACGTTAATCCCAGAGGGCTTTAAGAGCAGCATGCAGGAAATGCAAACAAAGTGCAATCTGTTTTTTAGTAAAAGATGCACGCAGCTTTAAGTTAAGAGTGAAGTGAACAAAGAGATGGTCTATTAACCATTCATAAACCTGATCTCCACCGTCACCACTACAGCAGATTTGCATTGTTTTACAACACATTGTAATGTTGCTTTATGTGCATTAACACTGATAACATGTATTATAAGTCCACTTTGTTTGATTGAAACACAGCTGGATCAGAAAACCAAATTTTAAAGGCGCGTTATGACCTTTTTTCTCTGACCCCTGGCGAGAAATCCAAACAGGTTCTGAGAGTTTTAGAGTCAAAATGAGGGGTTA